TATATATATATATATATATATATATAGTATGTTAAGACTAAAACTTTTCTATGACTTGCATTGTTGTACTTGTTTTGTAAATAACATTTGGTGGTATCAGTAATTATACATTAGATAGTGTCATTATTCAAGAAGTAAAAATCATGATTCTTTAAGGAACGCACCTCCCGGCTTAGCACTCATAGATAAATAATTTCAGAAATGATAGGCAAACTGAAATAAAAGTACACCAAGGAGTAAGTTAATTCTAGTCTTTTAGTTGTTTGATTATACTGTGTATAATTGTTGAAGGTATTGGTTGTAAACTCCAGAAGTATATACATAACTAAAATTGCACCTACATCTGAAAGGTAATAACTTGACAATATTCATTTACTGAGCAGTGAAAATCAGTCACAAAATATTAGGTTTAACTAACTTGTAGAAAACATTAATCTTTGAAAATTAACTCTGCTCATGATTGTTAAAATGAAATAAGTGCTGAATGGCTAGTATTTTTAAACAATAATTTCAAATTGAACAAATTTAAATATTGAAATGTATGTGTGTGTACTGTAATATGAGAGAAATTGTAAAACCCCCTTCCCCATCTATTTTTGGTGTTAATTTCATAAATGTGTTAATAGGTAATTGGTGCAGATTAAAATTTGCCAGAGAGTTTTCTAATTGCAATTTAAATTATTCAGCATTGTTATGTAACATTGTGTTAATTACTGAGATGATACTGAAGTTGCTAACAGTTTTAAAATTACATAATGCTGATTGGAGTATAGTGCACTCAATTATGAATAGATAAAATGACTATGGATGCCAGAAGATTTTACAATATTTGGCTTTATACCTTCATCAGGAGCTTAAATTACAATAATTGAACTCTATCACTCAAATTAATACCTATTGTATTCTAAAAATGCACATACTAAAGCATATTATATCACTCCATTATTACAAAATTTGTGGCACATATCTAAACAATATAATACGAACATTAATTTTAAACAAACAATACAGTAAAGTATAGTTAAATTTGTTACTGATATGCTAATCAAAAATTTAATTAATATTTGGTTTAATTCAAGAAATAGGCCATTCACTATTATTATTAATTACTGATTTATATTTGTCTAAAATAAGTGTCTCCTTAATTTTTTGACATATTGTCAGCTCTAGTAAGCAATCCATTTTTGGTGTACTATGATACAAAATAATGTTTAGCTGCTGCATATTTTTCTGCATTCACTTTATTTATGTCCTAAACATATTCATTGGTTTGTTAATGGAAGGTTCCATCAGTTTCCCTAATGTAGCTATCTTTACCTTTTGTGCATTCTAATTTGTATTAATTTTTTCACCATTACTCTCTCTCATATTTAGGGAGTTGATAAGGCAGATTTTTTTTTTTTTTTTCAGTGGGTGTTGGGTATGAAATCAGATATAGTAAGAGTTTGTCTTAACCCATTACCTACCGTGGCCATTTTGTCTTAACATGAGGGGAAAATCACATGTGTGAATAAAAACAATTATAAAGAACTTATCTTTTATTGGATTTCAGATTTTAATTTTGTAAATAGTAGCATAACATTCAATTATTTTCTTTATAAAACTGCATCTGGGTGTGTTAAACCTCAGTTGCAAAACTTTTAGCCAATCCTAGTCAAAGGTGTCAATTTCAGTACCATGTTATTCCAATCACTGTATTTCACAATCGACAAATCATAGGATGATAAGCAAAGCACGTGACGAAACATTGTTCTCTGGATTTTACAATATGAATGTGGGTGGTGCTTATTATAGTAACTGCCACTTTATGTATGTAGAGGTTGTATTTAGTATTGGTCAACAGTACTTTTTTGTAAGCCTTAGTAAACTTGCTTCTGTAAAAAACTGCATGGAACGTATGTGACTTTTATTATTTTTCTATAGTAGTTTAAGTCATGCTGTATCGTATATCTATTTATATTAATCATTATATTGAAAAATTAAATCAAAGTAGATATATCTTTTAGGAAAGAAGTTGATCCACGAATGTTAGGGTTAAGAGCTATCGAGTGGCGAGTGCAAGGTCTATACATGAATTAGGCTTAGC